GGGGGGGGGGGGGGGGGGGGAGGTCCGTGCGGAACAGAAGGAGCCAGTCTCCTTACCTTTACTGGAATAGATCTATCTCTGTGCACGTCACTGAGGGCATCAAGAGTGAGATAAAGCCTTTCCATTATGGATTCTGCAAGTGAAGACAGACGAGAACCCCTTTTCTGCATGTGTACTGAGCCCTGGGGGTGTGCCAAGCTATCCCAGGTGCTAGAGATACAGATAAGAACCCAAAGTTCCTGCCTCCTCGAGCTCAAAATCTTACAGGACAGACCGATACTAATGAAACACAGAGGTAGCCAGAGAATCGCAACTCTTAAAAAAGACGTGAAAGAAAAATTCAGGCAGCAGTTAAGGCTCAGAAGAGCACTCTGGCTAGGAATTCTTTCTCTGGAATTATCCCCAGGAAAGGCTGTCTTGATTTCCTCTCCAGAGTAAGACTCATCTCACTGGCACGGTTCTATCGAAAGGATTCTCTTGGCGCGATTGAAAGCGTTTTCTTGGTTTCCCCCCAAATAAGAGAATGAGTCAAAATCAAAGAAACCCACAGTGCCCTCCTCACGCTGAGTAACCACGTCTATTTCACTGATCTACCCTAGCAGTGAATAAAAAAATTAACTAACGCAAGAATTCCTTAACCACTTGGGGATCGAACAGAGTGCGAGGGGCTCAGTACAACTTTAAAAATCCGTTACAGCCTTCCGGGTTTTCAAACGATACCCCCAGCATCTCCGCCACCGCGGGTCTGCGCCACAGCACTGCGATTTTCTGGAACCTCCAAGGGGCTGATCATTTCGGGCTGGAAACCCTGCACCTTCTCCTCAGGCCCCCCTATGTGGTCTTCTCTCCCAAAGTTTGGAGACGTGGGGGATGCGCCCTGGCAGGGTGGGCTTGGGACGCACACACGTTAACACCCAGGTCGGCGGAGTCCGTGTGGAAGGAATGAATCCCTCTCTCCTGTGCCCCAGGGCTAACTTGCCGTTTCCTCCTCCCCCCCAGAGTGTATGCCTGAGTCTGTCCTGTACAAGGACATGTGCCATCAGTCCTGTCCCCGCGGCTACTACGCAGACAGACGCCAGTGTGTCCCCTGCCACGAAGACTGTCTGGAGTGTGATGGCCCCTCAGCGGATGACTGTGACCTCTGTGCTGAGTCATCCTCGGTTCTCTATGATGGACGCTGCTTGGAGGAGTGTCCGGCAGGGACTTACTATGAGAAAGAGACCAAGGAGTGCGGAGGTAAAGACTTCCGGGGGCGTGGCCAAGCGCTGCACCCCGGGGCGCCTGACTCAGCTGTGGGTTTCTGCAGAGGGCAGGTGCTGGGGTGTGCAGGGTTCCGGCCCCAGAGCCGTCACCCAAGCCGTTTCCCTCCTGCTCCAGAAAGCAGCTTTTGAATCGGCTCTAATTTATTCTTTCTTTCTTTTAAATGAATCGTTCACAAGCTTTGACAATGTTAACTCTTCTTAATAATAAATCAGGTTGACCCTCGTCACAACAGTGGCTGCGAACTGCTGATCAAAAAGAATTCTCGTGGGGTGCCTGGGTGGCTCGGTCGGTGAGGCGTCCGACTTCGGCTCAGGTCATGATCTCACGGTCCGTGAGCTCCAGCCGCACGTCGGGCTCTGGGCTGACGGCTCAGAGCCTGGAGCCTGTTTCAGATTCTGTGTCTCCCTCTCTCTCTGCCCCTCCCCTGCTCATGCTCTGTTTCTCTCTGTCCCAAAAATAAATAAACGTTAAAAAAAAAAAAAAAAAAATTCTCCTGTGAAGCTTCCCAGGGGAGATAAGGCTTTGAAAGTCACCCAAAATGGAAGCTTTTTTTCTTTTTAACGTTTATTTATTTTTGTGAGAGAGAGAGACAGAGAGAGAGAGAGAGAGAGAGCGGGGGGGGGGGGGGCACAGACAGGGAGACAGAGGATCCGAAGCAAGCAGGCTCTGTGCTGACAGCTGCCAGCCAGATGCAGGGCTCGAACTCACGAACTGTGAGATCATGACCTGAGCCGAAGTCAGATGCTTAACCGACTGAACTACTTGGGCACCTCATATGAGAGGGTTTTGTTTTGTTTTGTTTTGTTTCTTAAAACTTGAAGCCACTGAAGGTTTACAGCAGCATAAGGAAAGCCATAGAGAATTTTCTCAGCGCTTCACATCTCCCTCCTCGGTTCCTCCCTAAGATTTCCCTCCTTGACTCATCCGCTTCAGCAGCTCCTTCCCTGGGACCACCTACTCGTCACTTTTAAGTAGAGATCTGCTATTGTTTGTGCCTCCTTATGTTTGAGCTGGGTATAAACTGTTTGCCTCAGAGCAGGATAAATAAATTGTCTGTTACTAGAATCCTCAAACAAATGAATCATTCCGGGTGAACTTTTCCAGAGTTCCAGGGTTCATTCCAGCTAGGCAGCCGGTCGGAACTTTGCCCCGTGTTGCCACCAAGCAAACACTGGCCAGATAGGCAGAGGGGGTCCCAACAACAGCGGGGGCTTGAGGGCGCGCGCCCGTGGCAGGAAAAACCCAGAACGTCCTCAGGCAAACGTTGTGCATGTCATGGGGCAGGAAGATGGAACTGGCTCCCGAAGTTTCTGCTCTGGCTCTGTGATCTGGGTATACTTTTTTGTGTGTTTGATGGAAGGCACCCTTTAGCGTCAACCTGAAAGAACACGGGCTCAGAAATGCGCAGAGGACGGGGCGGGAGCGAGCCTGGGGGTCCGTTTCCTTGACAGTTTGGCCACTCGGCCGAAGTTCTGAGGTGCCACCTTGCCTGTGCTCGGGCAGGAACAGAGGGTCAATTTCTGGCCCTTTTCTGATGTTCAACAACAAAGGTAATTTGCCACACGGAAGACTTTACAGGCCTCACAGTACGTTTACATGATTTACCTGATTTAATTTTCTCATTGAGAAAGGCCCCTGGTTCCCATCCCCGGTTGCCCATTAGAATCGCCTGGGGAGCTTTAAAACAACAACAACATGGGGCGCCTGGGTGGCGCAGTCGGTTAAGCGTCCGACTTCAGCCAGGTCACGATCTCGCGGTCCGTGAGTTTGAGCCCCGCGTCAGGCTCTGGGCTGATGGCTCGGAGCCTGGAGCCTGTTTCCGATTCTGTGTCTCCCTCTCTCTCTGCCCCTCCCCCGTTCATGCTCTGTCTCTCACTGTCCCAAAAATAAATAAACGTTGGAAAAAAAAAAAATTTTAAACAACAACAACAACAACAAACAAACAAAAAAAAAACCCCACACAACCGTACAGATGCCTGGGCTCCCCTCAGGCCAGCTCAACAGTTGGGAACTTGAGGCCTCTCCTTGCTAGGCCAGGGCGCCCGCCACCAGCCCAAAAGCAGACTGAGGGAAGCTGGGACCGGGAGAAATAAAGATGCAGAGAAGCATCCGGAACCAAGCAAGATCTCCTCTAAGAAACACAAGGGCTTGGGATCCATTCAGACCACCCAAATTATCCACTATGAGGTAGCACAGGCACCTCTAAGAATCCCATACCTATCCCAAGGCACTGGGGCAGAAAGCGCTCTTAGTAAACTCCTGGGTTCAGCCCCTAATCCTGCCCTTTACCAGCCTCAGTTTTCTGATCTAGAGAATACTAATGCGGTGTGTCTATGCATTCAGTGAGCCCTTATTGGGGGCCTGCTATGTGCCGTGCACTCCTCCGGGCCTGGGGAAAAGCGGGGGACGATTCAGGCAGATTCCTGGCCTCACGGAGCTTATGTTCCACTGGGGAAGACAGACTCTACAGAAGGCAAAAGGAAAAATAAGTCAAGGGAGGGGACAGAATGGAGTCGCAATTGGAGAGAGGGAGCCTGAAGATATCATGGACAAACAGAGGCAACAAACCACACATATATCTAGAAGAGACCTCTAGGCCGAGGGAACAGCAATTGCTAAAAACCCCGAGGGGGGAATGAATTGCTGTCATTTTGTTTGTCTGACAGGAATTTACTGAGAGCCTGTTGTATGCCAGGCCCTCTCACAGGTACTATGCATCAGTGTAGTCATCAGTGACTACAAAAGGGGCCTTTTTTTTTTTTGGTCAACGGGTAATTGTAACACATCCCAACAATTGTTCCACTAGTGATACGCTCAAGGTGCTCTGGGAGGTCAGTGGGGGACCACACAACAAGAGTTACGGTGGTGAACAGGCCGCACGCACACCATTACTTTATTGCTGTTTTGGTAATTTTGCAAGAAGGGGCTCTCTAGTTATTAGAGAGAACGCTCTACGCAGAGTCCCAAGGGCCGTACCCAACTCACGGCCCCTGGCCCTTGGCCCAGAGCCCTAGAAATCTCTAAAGGAACTAAGGAACGTGAACACACCCTCCAGGGGCGCCCTGGCCCTCTCTCACTGTGTCTCCTGCCCACACCCCGCCCACAGAGTGTCACAAGTCTTGCCGGACCTGCTCGTCGCCTGGGACCTGCACCACCTGTCGGGAAGGCCTGGGGGTGGCCAGCCACGGACGCTGTGTGCCTCACAAGGAATGTGCCCCCGTTGAGTACTGGGATGAGGCTCTGGGATGCAAGCCCTGTCATGCTAAGTGTTTCCGCTGCACCGGGCCCACAGAGGACCAGTGTCGCACCTGCCCGAGGGACAGCCTTCTTCTCAGTGAGTTGCTTTTCCTCTGGGGCGGGCTCTCTCTCCCTCCATGGGGGAAACTGCCTTGCACGATGCCTGGGGCCCGGTCGATGGGTAGGGTCTTTCTAATTTTTCACTTTGTATTTGGAACATGTTCAAACCTATAGAAAAGGCAAAAGGCAAAGAACGCCACACGGGTGCCCTTTACCCACTTGACCCGCTGCTAATCTTGCACCCCGTCTGCCCGATCGTGAGCGTGGTCTGTCTCTGTCAATGTGAATGCCACGATATATTTGTTTCCGACCACAGTACAGTTGTCAATGCACGTGAATTTAGCATCAAGACTATTTCATCTGTTTTCTAATTTTGGCAATCCCCCTGTAGACCAAGGTCCAGTCTCCAATCAGGTACTGCTTCTAGTTGCCGTGAGTCTGAGGCCCCGCCCCCTTAACCTGAAACGTTGCCACAGACGTTTTTTTTCTATATAATATTGGGATTTGAGAAGAATACAGCCCCTATCCCTCTGTCGACGTCTGTGCGAAGTTTCCCACGATGAGACAGAGATCACGCACTCTCAGGCCAGAATGCTTCACAGGAGGCGTCGCGCCCTTCTGGAAACCCAGGATGTTCCCCTGCCCCTCATCAGTGAGGTGAACCACGGCCCTCTGTTCAAGGTGCTGTCCGATGTGTCCACTGCTTAGTTACTATTGTCCCTCACAATTAATAAGCAGTCCGTGCAGGGACGCTTTACGAACATGCAGGCATTCACCCCCTCATCAAAATTTCCCCTTGAGTTTGCATCCGCTGATTAACACGTCTTCTTGAAGTATGGCACGGTCTGAGGATGGCCACCTCCAGCAGATCATATTCGAAGGTCACGGCTAATGTGAAGCAATGCTCTCGGGTTCCCAGGGATCCCATGATTAAGCGTAACACGGGTATGGGAGAACAAAAATGAAACAAAGCTCACTCAGCTAAGAGAAGGAACAGGGGAGGGGCACAGGAGAGAGGGAAGGAGGGGGACATTCTGAAGACCTGGAAGGTGTTAGTGTCTATCTGGACCCAGGAGACCTGAGAAGGATGGCATTGACAAGGACATTGTCCCCTTCGTCCAGCATCCTCCCCCCCCCACCATGGTTCACTCTGGGGAGCGCGTAGAGGAGGGCTGGGAGACGTGTGTCCTACTTGATACGACGACAGACTCTTTTCCTTCCTTGGCAGATACGACCTGCGTGCGGGACTGCCCCGAGGGCTACTACGCCGATGAGGACAGCCACCAATGTGCGCCCTGCCACAGCTCTTGTAGGACATGTGAAGGGAGACGCAGCACACAGTGCCTCTCCTGCCAACCAAGCTCGTTCCAGCTGGAAAAGGAGTGCCTGCCCCAGTGCAGGGAAGGGTAAGGTGCTCGCTACGTTTCCCTCACTCGATCCCAAAGCCACTCCAGATATCACTACTGGCAAACCCCCTGTGCAGACATCGAAGCTAAGTTACAGAACACCAGACTGAAGTCTCAATGCTGGTAAGAAATGAAGATGAGAGTCCAACCAAGGTCTCGTGGTCTCTAAAGGATTTCAGCTGGTTCGCAGTAATGGATGAGGACGTGGGAGAGGCGAGCGACCCAGTGAAATGACATGAGACGCCAATCATCAGGTCAGGCTCACGTGCCAAACTTCGCTACTGATTTCGAGGTACAAGCCATCACAAGGCAGAGGCAAAGGATTCTTCCCCCAGAGCAGTCTTAAGACCATAAATGTAGGTTCTTTCTCTTCTGCATTAGGATTTGTTCTGTTGGCGAGATCAAAGTGATGTGTGGGGCGCATTGATTTTACAAAGGGAACCATTTCAGTTACATATCCCCATTTACACCCTACCAATGCTCCAACCTACCACGGCCCCATAAATCCATTATTTGCAGGTTTAGTTCCCATAAGCAATGTAGGGACACTGCTACGTTCTCCTAAAAGCCCCTTGCATATGAGAACTCTATTATTTTTTGCTAGGAAAATCTTTGCGTGTATTTATCAGGGGGTCGGGTTACCACCTTATTTGAAAGATTTGACCAGGGCATCCCTCCCCGCCCCCAACCCAGGAATCACCAATAAAGAGACAGGTTGATTACGGGCCTGTTGCCGATTCTTCCTTCCCAACCGGTAACCGAAGGCACCGAGAGTTTCCGGACCCAAAACGAAAGCCTGTAACCTCAGACTTTCCCAAATGCTTCTGCCCAGATTGGACATCACTTTTCTTTTCTTCAGTTTCTATAGCAGCTACTGCCTGCGTTACTCATTGTAGTCCTTATACACTGCCCTGTGTTTTGATTTACCTCGTCCATTCGCTCATTCATTCATTCGACACGTTTACTAAAGAACACCTTGGAGGTGTGAGTAATGCGAAGATGTTGACCTTCAAGAATTTATGCTTCTTTTATATTTCTTACCAAGAAAATTACGAGCGCCTGGAAAAAAAAACCAGCCTCTTATTTTTTCGCACATATTGCTACAATACTCAGCACAAAGTCACACACATTAGCGGCCCTCAAAAACACCAGCCATATAGATCAAGGAAGAAAGGGCCCTACCGAACAAGAGAGGCGATGGGGCCACCTGGCTTAGCCTCTGATCTTCATTCCACAAGGTGCCTGAAAAGATCGGAAAGGCATCACCATCTTCCTCAAATCGAGTCATTAAATACTCCTATACGCAAGAGGGTGTAATCTTGTGATCTCAACTGATTGTAGACCATGGAGTTAAGAAGACAGATGTTCCATTGTAAAGTTACCCACGGAGAGGAGACACACAGGTTGCCATAAATCTCTTTAATGGGGAACAAATGGGATATTAATGAGGTATAAGGGGAGATATTTAACGGAGATTGTCCCTTTTTGTAAAATCAGTGTCCCACATACATTACATCTGAGATGTGTTAAGCCTCTTTGCCTTGGAAAGGCAGGTATATGATCTTCTGAACCCTTTACCAACACATATAGTTATGTTAGTGTTTAACCTCGGAGCAGGTTTTTCAAGGCTCCCATTATTGTTTGTATTTATGCACAAAATCCTCTTCCGGGCATTGAGGATCTGGGCATCTCATAGCCACCTCGTGCAAGCAGTGGTATCGTACTCTTCTTTTAATCGTATCTAGTAACTCCCCCCCCCACCATCTTTCACTCTTTGATAATTTTTTAAATTTTTTTAATGCTTATTTATTTTTGAGACAGAGACAGAGCGTGAACAGGAGAGGGGCAGAGAGAGAGAGGGAGACACAGAATCTGAAACAGGCTCCAGGCTCCGAGCCGTCAGCACAGAGCCCGATGCATGGCTCGAACCCACGAACTGTGAGATCATGACCTGAGCTGAAGTCGGATGCTTAACTGACTGAGCCACCCAGGCGCTCCTCTTCAATAATTTTTAAAACCTACTAGGTATTAAGAAGCTTTCTTCCCCACAGTTCTTATTGATGCTTTTCATCTTAAAAACCCATCACGTGGGGCGCCTGGGTGGCGCAGTCGGTTAAGCGTCCGACTTCAACCAGGTCACGATCTCACGGTCCGTGAGTTCGAGCCCCGCGTCGGGCTCTGGGCTGATGGCTCAGAGCCTGGAGCCTGTTTCCGATTCTGTGTCTCCCTCTCTCTCTGCCCCTCGCCCGTTCATGCTCTGTCTCTCTCTGTCCCAAAAATAAATAAACGTTGAAAAAAAAAATTAAAAAAAAAAAACCCATCATGTTAGTAAAACACATTCATGCTGCTTTAGAGTTTACGAAGTATTTCTACTCAGAATATATTTTTAGATGATGATTTAGTTCTCCACTAATCCTATGAGATTGATGTTATTCTCTCCGTATTAAAAATGAGGAAACTGAGGCTCAAAGAGGTTACATGACTTGCCCAAAGTCGCAAAGCTTCTAAAACACAGTGGAGCCAAGACTAGAAATCAGATCTCCTGACTTCAGCCTGTATATTCTCTGGGTGGGCAAGTGCGGATTTCTACCTTGCACTGTGGCTCTCTTTTGAGCCTCCTGTGGGCTTTATCAACCCTTCACTTCATGACTGAAGTTTCCCCTTGTGTTCCTTTCATGACCCTGTCTCTCTCATACCCCAGTCCTACTGATTGACTTGTGGTAATTGTTCCTCACCCACCCGTGGAAGGTAAAACAAGGCTTAGACCGCTGAGGTACAGGTGCATTCACTCAGATCAGTGTCAGGTGGCTGAGTAAGGTAGACTCAGCCATGGCCTTAGTTTCCAACAAGTCAGTGGAACTGAAAGAAACTTTAAGGAACCTAATGTGGCAGATAGTTTCACGCCAGAGAAGCCAAGGGCAGACCTTCCAGTTTCTAGGATAGTTTCAGTGTGCCAATGTCCAGAGATGCCAAGGAGGGTCAGATGAGCTCTAGAAGTTCATCTTTGTCCACGATTTCTTTCCTCTCGTCTATCTTACTTGGAATATTCTTATTTACTTTGCGCTGCTTTGCTATAGCGGTATTTACCAGGTAGGTTGAAATCACATTACCCCACTTCGCTAGCTGTTTGACATTGAGCCAAGTGGTCTAAATTCTCTGAGCCTCAGTTTTTACATACATAAAATAGGGACAATAATACCTGAATCGTAAGGTTTGCTTTGAGGTTTAACATACAATTCATAATTATCACTAACACGCATTATTTATAATGTGCCAGGCACTGTTATAACTATTTTCTCAGTAATAACTTATTTAATTTTAGCTGCTAACGTTAAGCCCCATATGACGACCTGAGACAGAGACGTTGTGTGAATTGGCCAAAGTCGCACAGCTCATGCCTGGAACAGCTTGGCTTTGACCCCATGCAGTCTTGTTCCAAAAGGCAAGCTCCTGACTGTCACGCTCTAGTGTCTCAGTTCTAGGTTCAATAAAGGGAACTAATGTTTACGAAGTCCCTAGCGTACGATCGGGTACGCAGTAAAAAGTTAACCAACAGGGATTATTGTTACGTCAGCCTCCAAAAATCTTTCCGACGAGGTTACACCTGTTATTGTGTAAACATTAGCATCACGCACATCATCTCCCAGGTCAAGATTATTTTTTTTAATTGAGGCGCCAGAAGAATCACTCAGAGGTACATTTAGAACATCCTCCATAACCGGATCCCATTCTACAAAACCGGAGACTTGAATGTTCAAGTGGAGAAGCATATAGGTGTAAGGAAGTGAACAATTATCATAACTCTGCAACATACGATAATTCCTAGGTCCTTTCGTATGTGTTACCTAATTTAGTACTCACAAATAGCAAGGAAGGGATTGCAGTGCCCAATTTAAAGATAAGAAAACAGAGAATCATTAGGTTTGTTAGTATCATTACAGGCATACCTTGGGGATACTGCAGTTCACTCCCAGACCACTGCAGTAAGGTGACTATCGCAACAGAGCAAGTCAAACGAATGTTTCGGTTTCCAAGTGCATATAAAAGTTGGGTTTTCACTATACCGTAGTCCATGAAGCGTGCAAGAGCATGACGTCTAAAAGAGCGATGTACGCACCTAAACTGAAAAATATTTTAGTGCTAAAAAATGGTAGCCATCATCTGAGCTTTCAGTGAGCCACTGTCACTGAGTGACAGATCACCGTAACACGTATGATAATGAGAAGATTTGAAATATTGAGAGAATTACCAAATCGTGACAGAGGCACGGGGTGAGCAAATGGCATTGGAAAAAATGGTGCCAAGAGACTTGCTCAACGCAGGGTTGCCACAAACCTCGAGTTGGTAAGAGGCACAATGCTTGCAAAGCGCATAAAGCGAAGCGTGCTAAGAGGAGGGGTGCCCTGTGGTAATGTATCTACTGAGTACGGTTAGCGAGTCGAGCCTAAAGTCCCCCAACTCGGAAACAATCACCGTCTGGCTAACCTCGATTTTCCCGCCACACCCAACCCAAGAGCAAAGCCTGGGATTCAGTCTTCGCTTCCGCACTTGGTTTCAGATATTACGCAGAAGAAGCCACCGGACAGTGTGAGAGGTGCAGCAAGAGTTGCAAGGCGTGCCGGGGCCCACGGCCCACCGACTGCCTGTCTTGCGATACGTTTTTCTTCCTGCTCCGCTCCAAGGGAGAGTGTCATCGCACCTGCCCAGAGCATTACTACGCGGATCAAAACACACGGACGTGTGAGAGATGCCACCCAACTTGCAGCAAATGCAGAGGTGAGGGTGTACCTGTCACTTTGCATGTGTGGAGGGAAAAATGAGAAGGTCTCCTTTGTGCTTGGCCCCTGTTTTGTTTTGTGTTGTCTTGTTAGTTTTATTTGGAGAGAAAGAGGGGGAGGGAGAGAAAGAGGGGGAGAGAGAGAAAGAGAGCATGCTGGGGAGGGGCAGAGAGGGAGAGAGAAATTCCCAAGCAGGCTCCACGCTGACAGCACACAGCCCGACACGGGGCTCGATCCCATGATCCTGAGATGACATCAAGGGTCAGATGCTTAACCGACAGAGCCACCCAAGTGCTCCATTAGCCCTCTCTTTTTTCACCACCTTTGGAGGTTCCTCTCTCTTACCAATCCAGCCAAAACTCTCCAGCACCCTCCGTTCAGCATCAGCACCCTCCGTTCTCACTCAGCTTCTGCATCTGCCCTGCCCAGGCTGCCCTGCATTACATTTCTGCCTCTGCAGACCCTCCCAACCTTCCAGGCCCAGATACAGGCATCATCTCCCCCTGGAGGTGTCTCCCACCTGCGCTGTCCTCCTCCTCTACTTGTTGAACTTGGAATCTGGGTAGGGCATTTTATTTCTATTACTTCAACAACTACTTAAGATGTCTGCCTCCAGCTCTCCCAAATTCCATTGTTACTTTCCTGATACCTACTTCTCTGTCCAAGAGAACCCTAAAATCAACATGTCCCAGAGTAAACCCAACCTGGGCTTCCTCCGATAGTCATGCTGTTAATAGACCCACTGTTCAACCACCTATCCAGGTTTGATACCTTAACGTTATCCTTCTCTTGCCTCTTGCCCAACCCACCTACCCTCCAACAAAGATGAACTTCAAGGTCTGCTGATTTTCTCTCCTAAGCATTTTTTTTTTAACTCAGATCTCTTCATTTTTACTATCCTTGTTCTCCATTTTCAGCATGTCTCAGCCAACTTTCTGAAGTACCAACACGTGAGCTCGACTCCAGTCTTGCCACCCCCCTTCCCCAACTCATCCTGTATAGTAATGCCAAAGCAATAAAAAATCCACATCTGCTGGGCACTGAAAAACAATCAGGATGAATTATTCTCAACATTTAAGAAATGCCTCCAACAACGTGTTAGTTGTTAAAACTCATCAGATTAATATTGACAGTCGGGAAGGTACATTTCTGCTATCCTTTTCAAAAGTATTTTGGTTAATTAGTTTGGCCCCTTCTGTATATAAATTTTATACTCAGTCACATTTCATTCAAAAAAAATCCCCTGGGTATTAATTGATATAGCACTGAATTTATTTGGGAAGAAAAATCCATCTTTATGGTCCTGGGTCATCACATTGATGAACATGGTATATCTCTGCAATCTATGCATTTACTTTTTGTCTTTCAATAAACTTCCAATAAATGTGGGGTTTTTTTGTTTTACTTCTTAAAAGGTAATTAAATTCTTTCCCCAGTCAGTCCTTTTAGCTTATGATCTCACCTCTCCTTCCAGGTACTCTAGAACCCAGAACCACCTAGAACTACTCAGCAGCCAGCAAACATGTCACGCTCTTTCATGCTTCTGTGCCTTTTGTCCATGTGTTTCCTCTTCCTGGAAAACAACCCTGTAGGAAACACTCAACTTACAAGGAAACTTACAAGACCCAGCTTGAAGGTCATCTCCTCTGAGAGGGAGGCTTGTCTTAGTCCTCCCAGAAATGTTCTTCCTTCTTCTTGATTCTGTAATATGTCCTTTATTATAGCCCTTTTTACATTACATTTTAATTAAACATGTCCATCTCTCCTACTAATTGTGAGACCCTCAGGGCTCAGATTCTACCACCGTTATTTCATATGCCCTATTCTAGCCTAAACTGTACAGATAGTAAGTGCTCATTCAGTGTTTGCTGAATGAATGAATGAATGAATGAACAGAAAACAAATCCTAAAGTCTTTTTGCAAATTGGAGAATTTTCAATTACGAGATCTTCAAACGTTGCTTCTCCACCCTTTCCTCTAATCTCTTTTCCTGGAATTCCTTAGTTAATGTCACTCAGGGTGTCCCAATCTCTAGGTCTCTTACCTGCTGTGTATATTTTTATTCCTTTGACTCTCTATGCTTCATACTAGGTTGACTCTTCAGAGCTTTAGTCCATGTCTCTAATTGGTTCTCTGTGTTTAATCTAAAGTCCAGCCCATCTATTATTGTAGTTCTTTTTTAATTTAAATGACTTGCTTTAAAATTTTTTTAATTATTTATTCTTTATACCCATCTCTTTTGTTTCATATCTCAAAAGTTTATTAGAGTAGAAGAATAGAAAGGAAGAATAGTAGGAAAGCTCTCTTTACAGAAAGGAGACGTTCGAAAGTGAATGCCCTCCTTAGTATTTCTTTATGGATATTAGGTCTTCATTTATTTGTTAATATCCTCAATCTACTGAGTTTTAAAGCCCTGTCAAACTTCCCTATAAAACTGCTATTATCTGGGGGCATCTGGCTGGCTCAGTCAGTTGAGTGTCCAACTCTTGATTTCAGCCCAGGTCATGATCTCACAGTTCATGAGTTCTAGCCCCACCCTGGACTCTGCACTGACAACACAGAGTCTGTCTGGGATTCTCTCTCTCCCTTTTTCCACCCCTCCCCTGTCCTTTCTCTCCAAATAAATAAATATTTTTTAAAAAGATTCTCTCTCTCTCTCTCTCTCTCTGCCCCTCTCTCCCACTGCCTCTCTCTCTAAGGGGGGGAAAAAGACTAAAAGAAAAAAATGACTCTCCACTGATTTTAAAATAGAATCGTAACTAGCAACTCTGCATATGAGGTCTTCATCCTGGGACTCACATCCCTCACCACCTCGTCCACCACGCTCTAAATCCAGGCGTAATCAGTTACTGGAAACCAGAGCCAACCTCGCCTTTCCTCTTTCTAGAATACTTTGTCCAGCCTGCTTTACCCAGCTACCTCTTTCTAATGCATGACAGTCAGTATTTCCTCTACAAAGCCTTCCTGAATCTCTCTATTCTGTGTACCTTTCATCCTCTGCATTCATTCATCTATTTATTCAACAAACAATTATCCTGCAGTGTCCAGGCGGTGTCCATATAACTGTGAACAAGGCAGCCCAGAGGGCATATTTTATACTCTTTACTTATTTCTCTCTCTCTCTCTCTCTCTCTCAACTGAGGTCTCACTCACCTTTGTATCTCTAGCACTGAGCACAGTCACAGGGGCAGGCAGTGACGGTGGCCGGTGGCTCCAAGGGCACCTCCAACCAAGGTGATGGCTCCGGGCGGGGTGGCCATGCCAGCCGGGGTAAGGCAACGGCTACCACAGTCCATGACACGTCCGGGACAGTGGCGCTCTGGCCTTTGTAGGCCTCTGTCTCAAGCCCATCATGAAGGTGACCGTCAGCATGGCCCATCACTGCTGAGGTGGCCGGGGAAGACCATTTCCAGCTGGGAGGTGCTGGAAAGGCTTAAGGCCATGGTGCACAATCGCCGCTTCTCCACCCTGCAGATTTCCTAGGGCACCATGGACTTCATCCTCTCAGATGGCCAGGTGGGCAAGAATCTGGTCAAGTTTTTTTTATTTGGTTTTTAAATGTTTTTTCACGTTTATTTTTGAGAGAAAGAGAGGCAGCGTGTTAGCGGGCAGAGAGAGAGGGAGACACAGGATTCAAAGCAGGCTCCAGGCTCTGAGCTGTCAGCAGAGGAGCCCCATGTGGGCTCTCCACAAACCAGGAGATCATGACCTGAGCGGAAGCCAAATGCCCAACTGAGCCACCCAGGTGCCCCAAGAATCCGATCGC